AACCCCTTTTCTTGCTCTAAGTCTGTAATCTCGACTGTCTGGGGCTAGAGCCCCCGGTGAGGAGTCCTGTCTGGGTTCACCACGAGGCAGCTTCAGGGGCCCGGCTGAGGACATGGAATTGCATGTGTGAGCAGCCCGTGGAAAATCATTTCTAACTCAACAAGTCAAGTCCTCTCCCCTCCCCCATTCAATTGGGGCGGGGGCTGCAAGTCCCTCAGGCAGAGAGCCCTTGGGAGGGCGGGCGGGCGACTGCAGAGCCGCGGGAGCCAAGGGCTGGGGGACAGTCGGACTTAATCATTCTCGACTTTTAATGGTTGCTAGTTAATTTCCTTCCTGAAGAGACCGGTTTTGACCTTCACCTCCAGCCCCCATTAGCTGCTGACAGTGCTTTGTCAGCGTGTTTATGACAAATTAATTATACAGAGAGGGGAAGTCTCGCTGGGGAAACGAGTGATCGGCCCAGGCTGGAGGTGGGAGCGGGGCTGAGTTCTGAGAAGCGCTCAGATCCCCACAGACAAGGGCCTGGTAAACCGCAGACCTCGGGCAGAACCTTGAGGTGAGGGGTTGATCTCCAGCTCACTGCAGAGGGAAGACGAGGCCAGGAGCAGCAAACCAAACCTGGCAAGCCCTTTGCCTGGTGATGTGTTTGCGCTTGGGGCACCCCCTGTGGCAATGATTTGGGGACTTGAGGCCACCGGCAGGGCTGGGCTGCTGCACCCTGTGCCCCTCCCCATACAAATCCAGCTTCCTCGTTGCAGGGGCCTGCCAGGTGCCTCAGGAGTAGGTGTGCAGGGGACCCCTGCTTGTACACAGCCCAGTGTCAAGTGCAAACTGGCAGGCGCACATGAGCGGGCCCCAGCTTTGCTCTCCAGCCGACCGCCCCGCGCTGTTCTCTGCACTGAGCTTTCCAGCCACGCCAGACGGCTGGGCTGCCCTGGATAAACCCCCTCGTCTGCCTTGACACTTGGTCCTGGCTGTTCCAGTGCCCCCACCTCTTCCTCTGTCCTCCGCCTTGTGGAAGAGCTATGGGGCTCCCCCCTCCTCTGGGTGCTATCTGGGTCCCGTCCCACCCTCTCCTTCATTCCCGTGATTCCGCTCGCTCAGGACTCACTGTGCTGGCCGGGCCCCTCCTCTGCCCCCTGAGCATGTGGCCAGCTGGTGAGAGAGGGCCTCTGTCTCCCTCTCTGTGGCCCAGGGCCCGGCACACAGCAGGTGCTCAGTGAGGGGGCCTGCCCAGCCTATATGGGGTGCAGCCTGAAAAGATGGGGCCCCAAGCCCGGTAATTCACCAGCCAGTGCTGGAACCTGCGGCCAAGGTCTTGGGCTCTCACCCATCTCTGGGGGCCCGCCCTTCCTGGATCTGTGGTAGACCACATGACACCCCTCTTGGTTCCTGGTAGGTCATGTGACACCGGCTGGCCACTCACTGCCACAGTGGTCAGTGGCCAGGATGAGCCCCAGAGAAGCCGTCCAGCGAGGCTTTTACTTTGGAAAAAACGCAGAGCAGCCCAGGGTGTGTGTGCGTGTGCGGGGTGTGTACGTAGGCGTGGGGTGTTTTACATGGTGTATGTGGGTTGTTACACGTGTATTAGGCATGTGTTTGTGCACACAGAGGGCCGTGACCCTGTCTCGCCAATCCCCACCTTCCTTTACCCCTCCCCATTGTCCTTACCCCGCCCCTCCCCTGGCACCGTGGGCTGCCGGGACCAGCCTCGGGCAAAATGTCGTGTCAGGGGTTCCTGAAAGGATGAGACGGCCTCGGCGACACGTTAAGGGGCTGAGGGGAAGGGGATGAGGTAGTGAGGAGCCACCGACACTCGATGCGGTGCAAGTATCTTCTGCCAAAAGACTCAGCAGGTTCTTTATACTTTTTTAGCAAGCCGTGAGATGACACTATCAGGTGCATAGAAACGAAGCAGCAACACTCAGTGCATCCGTCTCTCCATAGACTTTTGGCCACTACGTGCCCTCCGCAAGAAGGCAGCCTTCAAGCTTAAAAAAACTGAGCCTTACACTAAAACTCATTGTTTCAGCTAAACAATCACCCAAGACCGGTGACAGCCGCCAGTCCCTCCCTGTCCACCAAAGCCTCAGCAAGAGAAGACTTTCCTTCTTCGCATCCCCTGCAGCCGGGGACCGGCGGCTGCTCAGCTCTCAGAACTTTTTTACCTAGAAACTCCTTAACTCAAATAGCTTCCTTTAAAAACTTTCCCAAGAAACTTCAAGAGAAGGCACAAGAAGGGCCTGCTAGAACTGTTGTGCAGGGCTGCTTGTCAGGCATGTACAATAAATTGTCTCCCACTGTCAAGTGGGCCAAATTGTTTAATAACTAATTTCTAAACAGGTAATTTTCCGTGCCATATACTTACAGTCTGCTGATACGTATAATTTATTGCCTAATATACTTTTTAATAAATTTTTCTCTTTTTATGACCAAGAACAAAAAACAAAGGGATGATAAATCTTCAGCCCCACGGTGTGAGGCCCTTTTTCTTAGCTGCTTGCTAGTATCTTATCTGGCTGGGGTAACAAGGCCCCCTGCAGCAGTGGGCCCCTGCCCGGTCAGCACCCTCACCCCTTCCCAGGGAACTCAGGACTCGGCTGGTGTGTAAGGGGCATCCCCTGCCGGGGGGCGGGCAGAGGTCGCTGGCCCACAGTCTGGTCCACGACTTTCACCAGGGCCTGGAGGGGAGGGATTTGTTCTCTTGAGTTGCAGCTAAAACCTCCCAAGAAATCAAGGCCCAGGCAGGAAGGTTCTAGAAAGATCAGGTGACCATGATGGGCAGTGAGAAATTGGGGTCCCCAAGGTGACGTCCCAGGGGTCCCCAAGGTGATGTCCTCCCACAGCTGCTCCTGTCCACCAGCAGCCCCTGCCTCTGCCAGCCGCAGCCCAGACGCCCATCACACTGGCCACAAGTCAGAGAGCAAAGTCAAAAAGGGTGTTCATGGGGGACAGAGCACAGTGCCAGGGTCTTGCCCCCACGGGCTCCCGCATCTGGACTTGTGTCCTCTCCATGGCTGTCTTCTGCAGCTCCCAGGGCCTTGCTTCCAAGAGTCATTGCTGCTAGGTGGGCTGCAGACGTGGATACATCGGCCAGGGCCGCCTGGCCCTCATCACAGGGAGCCAGCGTGGCTTCCGAGGGGGGAGCTGGGGACGAAAAAATGTTGCCAACAGATGACGCGAGCTCCAGCCCCTCGAATGACCAAGGTGATTTGTTCAATGGGGACTAAAGTCACTGTCCCCAGCCCCAGGCTTGCCAGATGGACGGGCCCCATGTCCCTATCTCTGAGGTCCAGTCTTGTCCTCCCTGGACCATTTCAGTATTTCCCTGCTTTCCCGAGACCCTCTTTGCTCCCCAAACTGTCCTCGGTGGAACTTAAATTGTGCCCCACGTCACATTGCCCCTGCACAAACCCCCACAGAATCTGAGCTTGCTTCAGGGAGATCTAGAGCTTTCTCTGGGCTTCCCGCTCCGAGAGGCCCCACCCTTGCTCACAGGCGCCACGCACTCTGCTCCCTGGGCTCCTGCATGCGATTCTGAACACGGTGCCCTTGCTGCCACCCCAGGGCCTTTGCACATGCTCCTCCCTCCACCCACAGTGCCAGCCCCAGATCTTGGCCTGGCAGGCTCCTTCTTTCTCCCATGGCCTCACCTCCTCCCAGAATCTTCTCTGACTGCCTGGCCAGGGCAGCCCCTCCCCGCCCTCACCCCAGGTTTTGTGGTTTGTGCAGTGCTCGTCTTTCTGTGAAAGTCCTGGCGGATGTGTGAGTTGTCTCCATTTGGACTCTGCTCTCCAGGAGTGGGGACATTTGTCTGTTTTGCTCACAGCTGTATCTCAGGTGAGGGGCTGGGTGTGTGAGTGAATGAAAGAACTACTTTTTCCTAATGTTTGAAAGATGGAAGAGACTTAAATGGCCACGACATTATTTCCTGGGAGGAATCAGTGGACCTGGGTGACTAAGGGGTCAGGAGGCTGGAGGAAGGATCATATTCCAGAAAGTTCCAAGGAGAGCCAGGTTGGCTGGCGTGTTGCCTGCACGCTCTGTGTCTGACTGCTGTGGACAAGCAGCCTGCTGTCCTGTGCTCGCTGGGCCCAGGCATGGTCACGGGTCCTGTTCCAGTGACACAGGAGAGGCGGAGGGGCAGGTGGCAGGGCAGGTGAGGGCTGAGCGCCCCTGCCCTCCTGTTGGTTGCCCCGCCCACTCTCAGGGACCCCGCAAGTCCCCGACTGGCCATTTACTGGAAAAGGATGCTCCCAGCAGACTGATCTGCGTTTTCTAACCATTGTCAGGACTGCTGCCTCCTGTCCCCACTCCCAGAAAGCCCAGGAGTTGAAATTCTCCTTCAAAGCCCATGTCCACACTGAGGCAGCATCTCGTCCTGCCTCTCCCTGCAAGAGCTGCTGTAGCTCCCCACGGCCCCAGAGGGGACGCGAAGGCCTCCCCGGCCTGGCCTCCCCTCCCCCTTGCCTGCATGCCCGGGCCCAGCGCAGGCCCCTGCCTTGCCCCCAGCCTGTCCCCTGCTGCCCGCACTGGCCCACCTGGGTGCACCCTCCGGTTCCCCCACCCTGCTCCGAGCCATGCTTGACTCCCCACTGTTGGGGAGTCCCACCTCTGCAGAGCCGGAACCCCCCGGCTCTGTGCCTGGTGCCCTGCCCATGGGGGCGGGAGCCCAGGCACCCCAGAGTCTCTCTCGAGGCCTAAAATAGTGAGAATGATGCCCCACCTTCTGGATGCACGTGCAGGGGCTCGCTGAGCCCCCCAGAGCAGTGGGGGCCACGGGGCTTTGGCATCGTCTTCATTTACAGAAGGGGAAACGGAGGCTCCAAGAGCTAAGTGACCAGACGTCACAGGCCAGGAAGATTTGACCCCACACTCCACCTCCAGAGCTCCTGCTCTCCCCCAAGACCCCCTCCTGGCTCCCAGGCTGGGGGAAGGGGGGGCCTTGGGTGACAAGGAGTGAGAGAGAGAACACACGGCCCACCGCGCCCCCGGCTCACCGGCGTCCTCTCCCGGCTCTCCAGAGCCCCTCTTGCCGTCCCCAGGCCCTGGGGCGCCCTCGGGCCTCGCCGGCCCTGGGCTGATGGTCATGCTGTTGCTGTTGCCGATGGCGACGTTCTCCAGGGAGCACTCCCTGATGTGGACTCGCTGCGCCGCGACCCCCTCGGCAGCAGGTCCCTCTTGGGACAATGGAATTTCAAAAGAAGCTTCTGGGGCGGCAGTGGTGGCCGAGGCTGCGGGTCAGCCGGAGAGGGAGACGTGGAGGGGAGTGTGAGCAGCGGGGCGGGGGCCCCAGAGCCCGGACCCCGTGTGGCCGCATGGCTGACTCCAGTCCCTCAACTGGCCCCCGTGTGAGCTCAGTCCACAGTCCAGACTTTGCTCCCCTGCCTGTGCTGGGGGATCCCCCTGCACCCCGCCCCCTGGGGCTGCCAGACCAGGTCCCGTGCCAGCAGCCCAGCCGCCTGCCCCCCCAGACCCTCCCCTGGGACTCAGCCTCCCCCTCCTGCTGCTGCCTCTTCCCGCTCCAGCTTCGGCGAAAATCCCCACACGCACCCGCCGTCCCTGGCCCTTGCTGCCTCGCTCCTGCCTTCCCCACGCTCCCAGCGCTGGGAAGTGTTCTTGCCGGGCTCACCTCCTCCACTCCTGACCCCTTGCTGCTAGACCCCCAGGAGCTCCCCTCCCCCAGGCCTCCCCTCTCCAGAAGCTTCTGCTGGAGTCCCTGACCCCCTCCTCCCTCTGGGCCGCTCTGCTGTCTTCCGCCCCCCCCCACCCCCCCCCCCCCCCCCCCACCCCCCCCCCCGTCCGCGGATGACCACGCTGGGCAGGACGCAGACCGGGCCCTCGAGTAGCGCCTGCCATGCTCGGTGGCAGCCGCTGCCGAGCCCTGCACGCGCCCATCTGGCCATCTCCTCTGTGCCCGCTGCAGCTGCCCCCTGCCCCATGCCCGCTACACGGATGAGGACAGTGGGGCGTGGGGACGACACACTCCAATGGGAGCCCCAGGGCGGCCTCTCAGTGTCCCTGCGCAGCTCTGCGCTGCAGCCCCCATGTGGGGGAGCAGGAATTCCCCGTCGTGCCTCTACCCCCAAAAGGCTGGTTCAAGGTCCATGCAGCAGTGGCCGCGGGAGCTGGGCAGTACCTGGGGGGCTGCTCCAGGCGCCGTGGGCAGGGTCCCCGGGCGCTGCGCTGTGGATGCGCATCAGGTTGGCGTGTCCCAGCTGCACCCGCTGCAGCACAGACTTCTCCACGTGGATGTTCTGGGACCCCCTGGTTCCAGGGGGGGGATTCTGAGGTGGAGGGGGGTGGTGGGGAGCCATGGCACCTGGCAGAGGACACAGCAACACGGCCGCTGACCTCGCCTGCTGGCCCCACCCCATGCGCTCCAGCCCTGGCTCTGGGCTCGTCCCGGACACCTGGGTCCTGGGAAGAGCCATCGGGGCCCCGGGTGGGAGAGTGGGGGACCCGCGGGGCGTCAGCATGAGGCTCTGCCTGCTGGAAAGCCCGATAGTGAGCCTGGCCTCTGCTCCTGTGTCTTCGAGCCCCTCTGGGGTCAGCATATTTTTTGTGCCCCCTGGACCCCTGCCCTGCCACGGCAGGCGCTCAGCGCCTCAGCAGTGGTGGCATTTTCTCGGCATTTGTTTCCACGGTGGCCTTGGGGCTTTCAGCCGGAGGTAATGCTATAAAAATTTGCTTTACATTTTTTCATTCGAATGAGGTAAACCGTTCAGCGATCTTAAATGATCAGGCGTAGACACGGCCGAGTGGAGAGGCGAGTCTCCGAGGACTGGCGTGGACGCGGCTGTGATCTGGATTCTGGAACAAAGCCCCTCTTTTCACACGGGGGAAACTGAGGCCAAGAGCAGGGCTCTCCTGAGGTCACAGGGAGAGTCCCCACTTTGGGGCTGACACCACGTGTCCCCTGGTTGGGCCGTGGGTGGCCCCGGTCCCTCCCACCACAGCGCCCAGCAGGGGACACGGGACCAAGTCTCCTCAAAACTAGGTGCGGCTGGGCAGATGCATCCTGTGGCTTCTGAGATGTTAAAATCTGGGGAAAAATCATGTCTCAGAGCAGGCAAATATAAAACAAACAAACAAACAAACAAAAACCTTGAGCCTTTCTACAGAGGGGGACAAAATTGAGTTGTGTCTCATGGGAAAACATGAGGTAAAATAAGGTACAAGGTATTGGGATGGAGTGAATCAGGAGAGGTTTGATCCAGGCACCAGGAAAGACTCTTCCTTTTTAGGAAGATCATCAAGGAGGACCTTGGAGACCTGAAAGCTGCCCTTTTCCTGCAGGGCTGAATACCCTATCCCCATCCAGATGGAGGAGATGCCCCTCGAGGTCCTTTTCCCAGGGTCTCCCAAGGACTCACCAGGCCCCTCTTGCTTCATGATGATGTTCCCATGTCCAATCTGAAGGTCAGCACAGTTCTGAATGTAAATGCCACTCTGCGGTCCATTCTGGCTGATCATGTTGATTGGATTTTTCTGGACAATAATTGTGGTAGCCGGATTTGTCCCTCCAGATTGTTCTGCAAAATAACATCCCTCTGGTTCCTCTGAACCCCTATCTCTAGAGATCAGGGGTCACAAATACCCATTGGCAGCATTAAAACCTCCTGGGGAGCATATTGAGACAGATCCCTGGGCACCCACCCCTGGGTGCTGAATTGGTAGATCCACGTGAGACCCAGGAACAAGATCTTTAACAAATACCCACCCCCACCATGGACATCACCACAGCAGGTGACCCCACCTGTGCGTCCTGTGCCACCTGGGGGATGGTCCTCCCTCCAAGGCACCCATGCCTTAACCACCAGCTGCCTAGCCCCTGTCCCCACAGCAGTGGCTGCAAGGGGGCTGTCCCTGGGTGGCTTCTGGTCACCAGGCAAGAATTTTTTATTTTTTAATTTTTTAAAACTTTTTAAAATTTTTAATCATCATTCACGAGCAGATAAGGTTTGTCGGCCTTACACGGCACTTGTAACAACCTGGATTTGTCACTCATGTATTTGCCACTATCACTGCTGCAAGGAATCTTCCCTAGGGTGCTGAGATTCCCTAGGAATCTTCCCTTGGGCTCCGTGAGCCTCTGCCCCTTCTGCCCACATCGCCACCATCCTGGGCCCTGGGCTCTTGTGCATTTGTGGGTCCCTTTCTCTATTAAAAATTCTTAAAATTCCACTTTCTGACTATGTTGAGATAGAGATGAATATAATCTAGGCTGAAGTCATTATTAGTATCATTAGGATGTGATAATCATTTTAAAAGAAATGAGAGGGCCTCCCCGGTGGCGCAGCGGTTGAGCGCTGGGTTGCGAAGCTGCCCGCGGCCTCTGCGGCGCCGGTTCGATCCCCGGCTGCTCCCCGGCCACAGGAGGAGGGTCCCACATGGCGCGCAGACCTCTCCTGCCGCCCGCTGCTCCCCTCAGCAGTGTACTTCGGTCCTTCTGCCTGCTCTGCTCCCTGCTCTGGCTCTGGTGAATTCTCTCACCCTCCCGCTCTTCTGACTGTACCCAGTGCATGTATAAACAAAACAAAAACAAATCAAATAAAATAAATAAATAAAAACATGCCTCTATTAAAAAAAAAAATTAAATAAAAGAAATGAGAACATTTTAGTGGACCCTTGAAAGTCCCCCAGCTCCAGCCCCGTCCCTGCTTCACCCCAAGGACAAGTGGGCCCTGATCCCCAGGAGCATCTGAGCCCAGCCTGGCTTTCTCTTCCAGCAACTTTAAAATAGTATCTACCATATAGAATCCAGCAATTCTGCGCCTAGTTTTCTACCCAAAGAACGCAAAGACACTAACTTGAAGTGCTACCCATGTCCCTGTGTCCCTGTGTCCCTGCAGCACTGCTGCAATAACCACGTTATGGAAACAACCGACGCGCCCAAGGACAGATGAGTGGATGAGGGAGATGTGTACACAGTGCATACGTGTGTGTGGTATATGTGCCCGGTGGAATACTACTCAGCTGTGAAAAAGATGAAGCCCATGGAACAAAAGAATGATGCTGAGTGAAATAAGTCAGAAGGAAAAAGATAAATTCCAGGTGATGTCACTCAATGTGGACTATAAGAAATAAAACAATGGAACAAACAAAAACAAAACAGTAACAAACCCTAGAAATCTGACTGTGGAATTGAGGTTCCCAGGGGGACAGGTGGGGTGTGAAGCAAAGGGGGGAGAGGGCTGATGGACTGTGGGGGGTGCTTTGGTGGCAGGTGTGGTGCAGTCACATACTCCTGAAGAGATTTGAATCTATACTCCTAAAACAGACACGGCGCTGTAAAGCAATGCTTCCTCAATAGAAAATATTAAGAAATAAATTAATAAATCCAGACCATATGATGAAAAAAGAAAAAAACAACCTCCCAGTTGGGCAAGTGCTTACAGAAAATGTCAGCAAACTCTGACTGAGCCCTGCACCGCAGGACCCACATGTTAGGACCGGGCCACCGCCCTCCCAGCCCATTGCCTTGTGCAACCTCCGGGGAGCCCTCCCTGGTTACTCCCACAAGCATGTACCTCCCTGCTAGCACCTCCTTCCAACAAGCAGCCAGCCAGACTCCTGCCAGCTTCTGGAAGGGCCTCATGAGGTAGACAGGCAAGGTGGACAGGCAGGTAAAGCCTACCTGGTTGATAAATTGCCCACATTTTCGAATCCGGGTCCAAGTCCAGAAGGTGCAGCTTCCTCAGAGCGTACAAATCGGGGTTGACATCTTTGGCTGTCCTCATCCCCAGGGCCTGGGCGATGTGCAAGGCCCTGAGGGGCCCTCGGGCTTCTAGGAGCCTGTAGATCTCCTTTTCTGGGGAGGCAGGATGGCAGGTGGTTTTGGAGGACACCCCAACTTTGAACCTGCTTTCCCACTGACGAGGCATGCAACCTGGGGCAGACCCTGTCGCTCCTTCCAGGGTCCACCTGTGAGTGGGGCTCAGAGAAGGGCACAGGGCGGTGCTGGGGGGCGGGGCGGGGCATGGAGACGGCGCCTGGCACGTGGCAGGCGAAAGGCGCCCATTTCCCAGAGCTGCTTCCTCCCCTGGGAGGCCCAGGCCGAGCTTCTGGGTGCTCTGTGGGAATCCCTGAGGGCAGCCCTGGACGCTGGAGATCTCAGGCAGCCAAGGGGAGTTTGGGGGTCAGAGGAGATAGGCGCGGGCCCCAGGAGGGAAGGGGCCCCAGGATGCTTACGCCGTTCAGAGAGCGGGTGACGGAGACTCCCCGGAATCGCCAGAGCATTTTGTTGGGGCCTCTCAGCTAGAGAAAGAGGAGTGGGAGGTGGAAGAACAGGGAGGGGCGGGGGGGGGGCCCACCCCACCCCCCGCCGAGGCGGCTCCATGCTGGCCCCAGTGCACCAACCTGGCGTCACCTCCAGCCCCGCCGCGCCCCCGCTGTAGGGCACCACTGCTGCATTCACCTCTTGGGGTGCAATATTCTTTTCTGCATAAAGGGGAAGAATGGCGTCCGCGCAGCCCCGGGCAGCCCTCACGGGGCGGGCACAGAACCCGTGGGCTGGGGCTGAGCGGGCTCGGGGGCTTCTTGTCCTGGCCCCAGTTATTTCCGTGTTTCCCGGGGTCTGCAGGCCGGAGCCCTCGCGCCCTCTGGCCCGCTGGCAGCCCTGCAGCCAGTGCCCGCTCCGTCATGAGAAGAGGAAACCACGGCAGGGGGAGGCGCCATCCCAACCGGCTTCCCGCCCCTGCTGGCAGGTTACCTGGGCTGGGCTGGGTCTGCTCCGAGAGAACCGGGTTCCTGGGCCCATCCTCGGCCAAGGACCATGTGGCGTCGGCCGAGAGGGTGACTTTCGAGTCCTTCATTCGGTAGAGGGCCTGGTTGAGCTGCTTCTTGGTCACCTGGCAGTGTTTGGCCAGCTTGGCGGCCTTCATGGGGCTGCCGGCATCCCTCAGCAGCTGCAGGATCTTCTGCTCCAGGTCTAGGGGAGGGGTACAGAGAGGGAGTCCCTCTCGGGCCAGCCTGGGATGGAGACGGTGGGGGACAGAGACACCCACCACCAGGGCCCTGGGGTTGGTCAGACATGGGTTGGCCATCAGCCTGGTGGCCAGAGGGGGCAGGCGGTCCCTGATGCCTGCCTAGTGTCTGCCCAAGGGCAGGTGGAGCTCTCAGACCAGGGGGCAGCGGAGGGGGCGGACGGAGCTGAGTGGGGGAGTGCGGCGGGAGGCGGCAGCGGGCCGAGGAAGGGTTCTGGGGGGAACCTGACCTCCATCTTCTCTCCTTCCTCCCTGCAGAACCTTCCCCTCCCCTCGTCCCACCCGAGCCCCAGCTCCCCCTGCACCAGCGCTGCCAGGCCGGGAGCCCAACACACGTCAGAACCACCTGCTCCAGGTGCCGGTTCACGGAGTCCTGGCAAACCCGCTTCTCTTCTCCCGCCACACTCCCCCGGCCCCCATGCCTCAGCCTCGCTCCCAGATGAAGCAAATTGACCACCTAGGTGCCCCCTGCTCTAGTTCGAAGAACTGGCTCTGCCCAGCACCCCGCCTGGCCCCTGCACGTCTGCACCCCCTTCCACGTCTGCACCCCCACTCGCCCTTGGGCCTTTGCAGGGCCTGCTCCCTGTGTGGGGAACGCTCTGCCCCCCTCCACCTGCCCAGTGTCCATGCAATGTCTGGGTGTCCTTTAGGAAGTTGGCCTGGTGCTCCTGAGTGGGTGGGTGCTGTTTGTGTGGGGCCCCCGCAGGCCCCTGCTGTGGTGGCCTGGCTCACTGTGGGACACTGGGGCGGGGGGAGCTGAGGAAATGGCAGCTGACCAAGTGGCTGGGTGAGGGGTGCCCTCCTGGAGGGGTCTGCGTGGACGGCCCAGGCTGGGCAACCAGAGTTTAACCACCAGGCTCACAGGATTTCTCTGAATGGCCTCTGGTCCCCCAAACCTGGGGGCAGGCCCCCACAAACCCAAGCTAGCTGCTCTGCAGGGAGGAGGGGGTGCCGAGAGCACCCGGAGACAGTCACGGTGGGCAGCTGCTCACGGCGGGGGTGGGGGGGGCTTCGTCTGTGCTCTGCAGCTCCTTCCCATCCTTGCCAGGCACAAGGGAAACGCCATTAGGACATCTGGGGTGCCCGCGCACACCTGGCCCTGCCCCGCCTTGAGCAAAGCCTTCATTCCTGGAAAGTCAGCCCCACATGAGCCTGTGGGCCTCGTTCCCCATCCCCGTGACCGCAGAGGAAGTGGGTCAGGGAGGGGCGATGGCAGCCCGAGAGCGGCAGAGGGCCCCGGGCGAGCTTTGATAAGATGCGGCCTGCCAGGAACGCAGGTGTATTTGGAGAGCGAGCGCCCTTGACCCGGGCTCTCTGTCAACAGGTCCCGCGGCACCCTGGGGTACCCACCCACGCGCATGCCTTGTTCTCTGCCGACTGCTCTCCTGCTTGGACTCCCGGCTCTGCCTCCCGCTAGCCGTGTGCCTGCTCTGTGCCTCAGTTTCTCCATCTGGGAAAGGAGGGTAATAGCAGCTACTTCAAAGATCATGGTGAGCTAATGACACCCACAGCAGATCTGAACGCCAAGCCATCTGTAGTGGGCACCCCAAAGACTCATCCCCAGCAGGCAGGTGTGCTGGGCCCTCTGGGCCCCCGGGTGTCAGGTGTGCAGAGGATGGAGGCAGCAGGGGAAGCAGGGCTGCTCAAGATGGTCCTCAGAAAGAGAGCAGCAGGCTCAGCCTCTGTCAGCCAAGGCCTGTGACCTCAGGACGAAGCGGGTGAAAGCTGGCCACCTGCTGCCAGGTGAGGGGGTCGGGGGGTGTGCAGGCCCGCCTCCTCCTCTCTCATGTCCTACTGATATCTGGGCCGCTAGGAGCCAGGAGTGCAGGCCCCACCCAGAACCCCACTGGCCCCTGGAAGGAAGAAAGTACCTGTGTCATCCGGGTTCTGGGCCTGGGCCATGGTGACAGCAGCTGCCAGGGGCTGGGGGCCCAGCGGGGCTCCTCTCCTGGGCGTGAGCTGGTGGGGTGGGCGGTGGTGGTCGAGGCTGGGTGTCGTGTCGCTGCGAGAGAGCCGGGTGCTTCTGGCAGCTGTGCAGGGAGTGCCGTGAGAGAGCCGGGTGCTTCTGGCAGCTGTGCAGGGAGTGCCAGCCGTGCAAGTGTCAGCACTTGGCAACCCGGAAACTGAGGTCTGAGATCATCACATTCAGAGAAAAAGGAAACAAAACTCCAGGGTGTCACATTGGGGAGAAACAAAACCGAAAGCAGTACTGACGAACAAGACGAAAGTTTCAAGGGAGGAGTGCAGTGGGGGATCCTGGACTTCAGGTGGCCACTGCTGACCCCGGGCACAGGCTAAGAGACAGGTGTGGTGCTGTCCCGTGAGTACCTACTGTGTGCTTCCCCTTGCGTGGCCCTGCCCCTATCCCTCTGGGTAGGGGCCAGTGTTGGCCTCTTCTCCAAGGGGAAACTGAGGCTCTGATTGGCGGGGTCAGTTGCCCAAGGTCTGAAATGCTTGGGTTTGAGCCCAGCCCCACCATTTACCAGCTGTGTGACTGCAGCTAAGTTAAGTAGCCTCTTCGTGCCTCGGGTTCGTTATCTATAGGATGGGACTAATGACAGACGCTTCCCCAGGAGGTGGTGGGGTGCTCCCACTGACAGTGCTCCCACTGGCCCTGCCCCGGCCCCACTGCCTCCTGGGGTCCCCAGGCCACTCGCGTGCCTCTTTCATGAATGCTCAAAGGCCCAGGAACCCCAGCAGTTCAGAACCCCTGTTCTCCAGGTAGCAGAGGGAAAACTGAGGCGCCCTGAGGGTGGAGGGGCCTGTTCAAGGCAGCTCAGGGGCCAGGAACTCAGCCCAGAAGTCCCTGGGTGTGGGGTCCCAGCTGCAGAGGCCCGGATAGAGGGTGCAAGATGTCCCTGCCTCCAGGGCGCCCTGCTCCCGGCATTTCCATCAAGGAAGGGGCTTATCAACAAGGGCCCCACGGGCTTCCCTTCACAGAGCAGGAATAACCCTGACGGCAGGTCCACACCCAGAGCAGAGAGAGGCTTCTTGGGTGAGGCCGTGATTTTGTTTGCCTGGAGGTGGTGGTTGGGCCGACAGCCCCACAAATAGGAAACCACCGCTACACCTCCTCTGAGTGGCACAAGCTGGCGCTCAGTGTAAAGCAGAGAAGGCTCCGCGCCTGGGGAGGTGGTGGAGGCCCGTTTCTGAAGGTGCCGGGGCTGGGAGGTGCCATGCTGGACTGGCCACCAGGTGGCGTGTCCTCACCAACCTGGCTGGGCCCCCCGCTGGGGTCCCTCCGAGTTAGGGGTCCCTCCCTCAGTTCCTCCTCCCTTCCCCTCCCTTCCCGGCCTCTTCTCGGGTGTCCTGGCCTCTTCCCTGCCTGCGGCCAACCTTACCAGGCCCGGGTCCTGGCTGGATGTCTGGCTGCCTCGCAGGTGAGGCTGAGGGACTTGACTCTGATCCTGAGGGTCAGCTTTGCTTCTGCAAAGACCCTGGTGCCTCAGGGTGGGGCAGGCACCTGCTGGCACAGCTCTCTGGACGGTGCTTGTGTTACTGGCCACTGGGGGGCTCGTGAGCGTCCACTTGAGAGAGACGGGAGCCGCCAGCGGGAGCACTGTCAGTGGGAGCACTGTCATTTATTGCATGGGAAGGAGCAAGACAGTTGCAGGGAAACCGCTTCCAAGACAAGAGGCTCCGGGCCCGGGGCCTAGCTGGGCCTCAGGCGAGGGTCTCAGTTGCCTCGCCTTGTCTCCACCTTCTCTCCACCTTGTTTTTCTTCCCTTTAGTTGACCGGCTCCTCTGGTCACGTCGTCCAGTGAATTCCTGCTTTCCGGGGTTGCACTCGTGAAAATCTGCCATATACTGGAAATACACTCAAAGTGCACCGTGAGCCCTTAGCACCCCCAGTGGGGGGGGTCATGATACGGACACTACAAGTCGGTTTGTGCAAGAGTAAGGGGTGGGGATCTCGAGGTGCCAGCAGCTTCCCAAGCCTGTGCCCCCAGCGGGCCCTTCTGCTCTGGTGCCCTTGCCACAGTCCCGCCCGCTCACGCTGGTAACCAGATGAGGCTGCCTCGTTTGTTCCAGTAACGGCGGGTGGACCCTTCACCCCGTCACATTGCATGGTCCCTACCAGCCCCCTCATTCCTGGGCCCTATCCCTGCCCTGTCCTGGAGCCACGGGGGGCCACTCACTGGGAGGGAGGAGGCTGCAGCAGGGGCCCCTGTGCTGGGGGCCACGCCCCGAAACGCTGCCTAGGGTAGGATCCTGCCTCCGCCTCCGCGGGCCTGAGCTGCAGCTGGTCCTCCCCAGCTATGTGGCTACAGCTAAGCTTCAATGTCTTCAGTTGTAAAATGGAATTAATAAATATTAAAAGGGGCCCCCCTGGTGGCCTAGGGGTTGAGTCTCAGCCCTGGCCAGCAAGCTGACCCACAGGGCCTAGCAGACCTCTCCCGTCTCCCCGCCGCTCCCCTCAGCAGTGGATTTCAGTGGATCCACCTGTTCTGCTCCCTGCTTGATTCTAGTGAGTCCTCTCAGCCCCTGCAGCTCTGGCCTGTACCCCAGTTCTTGTATGCATAAATAAATACATCTTAAAAAAAAAAACTAATAACAAAAACTAAATAACAAAAAACCTGTCTATCTGGCGCTTGGGTGGTGTTCACAAGATTTTGCCCGAGTTCGAGAATGTGATGAGATGTATCTCCACAGTAGAACTTTACATGCTGGGGGTGGCGAGGGGGGAGCAAGAGAAAGGGAAAGAAAAAGCAATTCCACGTGAGTGGGTGGCACCTTCCACGGCATCCCACAGCGTGTCCGGAATTCACGGGCACCGTGGACCTGCTGTGAGTGTCTCACCACATTTGGATTATCTTACATTTCACTTCTCAGTTTAAGAGATTTTTGAGAATGTTGGGTTCTAAAGATTGTCTTTAACCCAAATGCCAGTGGTTTACACAACACAGACACTTCTTTCTTTTTCCAACAACAGTCTGCTGGGCCTTCCAAGTCTGGTGGGGCACCCCCTGTTGAGACCCAGGCCCCTTCCATCTTGTTGCTCTGCCACTGGCGGCCTCCGTTCCCAGCTGGGCCGCATGTGCTATGATGACTCTTCAAGCTCCAGCTACCACGTCTGCACCCCTTCTAGCAGGAGGCAGGTAGCAGGAGGGAGGCAGGTAGCAGGAGGGAGGCAGGTAGCAGGAGGAGGCAGGTAGCAGGAGGGCAGCTCGTTCCCCTTTAAGAACGCCTGCAAGAGGACACCTCAGTGGATCCACAACCCTGCCCACCAGGATAGATGGTCTTTATTCTGGACCACTAGGCACTGTTAAAGTGGGGCCAGCAGATAAGGGAGGAAACCTAAGTGTCCCTGCTGTTTTGAGGCTCTGTTGCCCCCAAGTCGGGAGCAAGATGCCTCCTCTGCCCCTAGGCCTGTCCATTCGCTGAGCAGGTCCGAGGCTGAACCTCCATGAGGCTGAGTTCGAAGGCAGTTCCTGCACTCCCAGGGCCTCCCCTCCCGTGCAGGAGGTAAGAGAGGGGAGGCAGGGGCCAGGGTGTGTGCCCCTTCCTCTGCCTGGGACCCGGGACAGGCCGCCAATGCCCAGCAGCCCAAGATGGCGCCCTAGGGTGGCGCCAAGTCTCTTTTGTCTTGGAAAGCATACCCCCTTCTTTGTGGCTGTGTTTTCTGGAAACTATTAGAACTCTCTGCCCAAACCAGATGATAATTACATGTTACTGATCTCAAGTCTTTAAATTTCTCTCTCTCTTTTAAAAGGGAGATATTTTTGCTTCACATTGTATTGGCAAAACCCGGTCTCCTTTCTACCAGGCTGACTGGATGTTATTTTCACGTCTCCTCTGAGAATTCACCGCAGGGGAGGGGGCGGCAGGTCCAGAGGCACCCAGTGTGGACAATAATGTCTGTCCAGCGCGGAGGTGGCCAGTAGCTCTGGGTGGAGGGTAAAGAAGCAGGACTGTGAGCTTCGTGGGAGGCAGGGGGCCCTCAGGGAGCCACCCCCAGCTCTGCCCGCCATTTGCTGCTGAGGGGGCCTCCACTGGCCAAAGAGTCCACCAGAGCTGGACAGACCTGGGCTCTGGCTCTAGGCCCCACTCAGCTCTGTGCTCCAAGGGGTCACTACTCTTTCTGAGCCTCATTTCCCCCTTTTGCACCTCCCGGGAGGGGGGGTGATGTCTGCATGGATCTGTGATCCACGCGGGGTAGAGAAGCTCGTGGCAGCCCCTCTGACCTCCAACTGTCGGTCTCCACCAAGTGATTCCTGTACCTTCCTTACCCCAGCTGAGGTCTGGAGGGGTGGAGAAAGGCCCCCTCGCTGGTTCCTGGCTCACTTCCCACCCCAGCTGCCAAAGGGCCCACAGTGCCCATTCAGGGCTGGACAGGCCCCTCAGGCCATGTCTGGGGCCCAGTCACTGGGAGTGGCCAGGCAGGCACGGGAGCTGGGCCCAGGGCATGTGATTGGGAGGGTGGGCAGAGATCCGGTGGGGAAGGCTGCGGAGGAATCTTGCCATTTCCCTGGGGGCAAAGGCATGGCCGCTGAGGATTGCCTTCCAAGGCGCTTTGGGCATTTAAGAGGGGCTGGAGCTGGAGACGGTGGGCAGGGGCCGGGCGGGGGGTGGGGGCATGCCAGACCCTTCCCACCCACCTACTTCTTTTAGAAAACCCCTCCCCCAAAATATATTGGCACGAATTCACAGCTAACTTTTGTTTTTAGGATCAAAATACCTTTTTGGCCTGACAGTTTTAGTTCCAAAATGATCTGCCCACAAGAAATTCATTTCGTGACAGGGCCATGATTCCCCACCAGGCGCCCAGGCCACTCGCGAATTCTGGCAAAACGAGAAGATATCACCCATAAATTCTTTTCAAATATAATGAAGCCTAATGAAATTTTTATGGTGACTAAATGGAACAATTAATGAACTTGACACAACGTTAGGTTTCCTAG